GGCCAGAAGAAACAACTTCATAGTGAAGAAAAACATGTTTTCACTGTGGAACACCTGGACACATTGCCAAAAATTATCCTAATCGTACATATGTTCCCTACTATGCACAAGGCTGGTAAAATGCGGAAGGTGGGAGATACTACAAAAGAAATCCTTCGAGATCACATTCAAACAATGACGACTAGAATGCCACGAAGGGAAAGAAGGGAATGTCGCACAAGAAGCCAAATACAAGAGATGATATTGTGAAGCCAAAATCAAAGTCATCTCAACGGCCGACATCAAGATCAAAAGCAAGTACTGAGCTACCCATCAGATCAACAAAGAAATGGATTAAACCCAACTACAAATGGGTTCTGAAGGCTCAATCTCCCACATCTTCTAACGATTCTAATATTTCTACATCTTCTGTTTGTGATAAGCAGGATATGTCATGGGAGAGAGTATCGTGCAAGGATGAAAAAGGTCGACCTAGTTTCAAAATGGACTGGGTTCCAAAGACCAACTGATCCCGATCTGTGTCGGAGCAACTCTGGAGGCATATCATCAGACTTTGGTTTGTTAATAGTGGCTGTTCCAGGTACATGATAGGGGACATCTCTCAACTGAGCAACACTCAGAACTTTGTTTGAGAGTATGCGTCCTTTGCGGGATAGGAAGAAAGGAAGGGATCACATATTGGGGTTTGTGCTTAACAAAATGAAGAATTTTCGGATCTGTTCTGAGATTGTGCGTGCTGTTCTCAAACCTTCTGGATGCAAATTCAATCGGTGAATTACAGTTTGCGTTTTCTTATTTATACTCCTGAGTTTATCTAACACTATTTCGTTTTAAAGACAATTTTTCAATCTTTTATATTTTTTGTTTGTAAGTATTATGTGGGAATTGATATCAACAATTGATAATGGGAAATCTGAGTATGTGTAATGTACCAAAGCTGAATTGTCTAGGCTTTGTGTTCGATGCGCTAGTAGGCACGAAGGATTTAAATGGACTTGACTAAGCAAAGATGAAATTAAGAAATCAAATAACTTGACAAATCTTAACCTAGATAGATCCGTTTAGCCTGACAATACGATGCTTAGATAGGTTGAGCAGGGAGATATACATGAGAATCCACCAGTCACACTAAAGAACCTGTATCTAGAACTATGGTTTTACTTTTCCTCAATGTACGAATTCTGTTCTTAATTCCGATATTGACGGAGTGACTGGGGAATTCCGATAAAGTAGGTCTGTAGAAAATTATTTTCTTTCTTTCTTACTGTTAGTCATATGTTGCCTCCTTTACGTGATTGGAATAGATCCGACCTGGACTGCAACATATGCAAATGTATTTCTCTGCATATTATATCTATGAAATTCTTCCTATCTGTTAGCCATAAGTTGTCTCCTTTGTGTGATTAACAATCCGACCTGGTACACAACATATGCAACCTTCTACTTCTCAATCCCTCTAAAACTATAATTAATCATAATCTAAATCTATCCTTTCTATGAATAGTAGCCTGCTCACCTAAAGTAAGGAGTATCTCGGAATTTCTTGATTGTTGGGGTATATCAGGAAGCAGGAAACATGTTCTAGTACATCTAAAAGTGAACAATTCTAGATTGTCTGTATATCTCATTGCTCAACTTAGGTGGACAACAATATCCTTGGTCATCTTCAGATGAATGGTCATTAGGAAGTTTTATCTAGGAACATAGGATCAACTTGTCTTGTCACTTATAGCATGTCCAAAATTTGTCACAATTTTCCGTGCTTAAGTGGACCACAATATCGGCGATCGACCATATTTATTCATGAAGGTGAAGGTACTGACAAACGAATTAAGACTGTCTAACAACTTTGAACCCAAATTTTTTTGTTTTTGTTAAATTTGTTCATAGTTTTCCTCTTTTAACAAATTTAGGGGGAGAATTAAAAATTAATTAAAAAATCAAACAAAAATCAGAAAAATTCAAAAATCAAACAAAAGTCAGAAAAATTCAAAAACAAAAAATAGTGTTATTTCTGTCTTATTTTTTTCATAAAATATCAAAAATCCAAATATATTTTTTGTGTGCTAATTTTTCTTTTAGTTTTGTTTTGTCTTCAAAAGTGATTTCTGGTGTAGATGAGACTCACATAGTCTGTATCGAGATTTCTGAGCCGAAGCTTCATTCGTGAGCATCGAAGAATTTTCATTCGAAGGAGCAAGAAATGAAGATTATTCTTTCAAAATTCAATCTGTCAACCCCAGAAGCATGGTGAAGTTGTACCTCCTCAATCAATTTCCTGCTATCTCTAAACTTGCTGAAGTGATCCAGAAGATTCGTTCTCTCTGTTCTCTCTGAAGATTCTAAAGTTGAAAGCGCCATATTTTATGAATCTCTACAAGAAGCCTCCTCACCCAATGTACGTTCAATTTCGAATTCTGCAGAAATCTCAACTGCTCAAGATGAAGTCATTTATTGAAGATTCATATGTTCATCTTGATGATGCGAAGAAATTTGAAGATTAATTGTAACATCCCAAAATACAACCCAAAATTTTTTGTTTAATCATGACTAAATCATTATATCAATATCATAAAATAAATACCCATACGTCAATATCTCAAAACCATAATAAAGTATCATGAGAAAACTATATCAAATCATATCTACAAAATGCTAAATTGACTCTTAGGAAAAAGATTGAAGTGGTGGTGTATGCGATGCCATCATCCTGAGCTCTTCCCTTTACTTGTGGAAGTACCTGAAACCAAAACTGAAATTATAAGCACGAAGCTTAGTGAGCTCCCCCAAACTACCACATACCATACAATAACATATAAAGCACATACTAGGCCTTGCCCACTGCATCGGACTGAAATCCGGAAACTGCATCGGACTGAAGTCCGGAACTAAACAGGGCCTTCTCCTCTGCATCAGACTGAAGTCTAGAAACTGCATTGGACCGAAGTCTGAAACTGACTGGGACCTTGTCCCCTGCATCGGACCGAAGTCTGGAAACTGACTGAGAATAAAATAGCATAGCATAAACATATCGACTAACCTAAGCACATATATTTCATACTGCATCAGACCGAAGCCCGGAACACATAACATAAAACATGCTTGAATCACAAAGACATCAAGCAATCTAACTACTGCATCGGACCGAGGTCCGAAACTACTTCTAACTAAACGGGACGACATTGTGGCCGTAGACCCGTTCCTATTAGAAGGAAATTCACCTCGTGGTCTGGAAACTGAATTAACTACTCTGGGAACTGTCTGCTGCTGCTCTGGTATCTCCCTGGCTACAATTTCCATAAGTATACTCAATCAAATATTGATAACTATACTAAGGGTAAAATGACAATATTACCCCTGGTCAAAGTCAACCTCTTGGTCAAAGTCAACATACATGTGACCTGACTCGTCGAGTTGGGCCACCAACTCATCGAGTCCCTACTCTCAGTTATCATTTCTGCTCGCTACTACTCGTCAAGTTTAGCATAGACTCGACGAGTTCCTCTTTGATACTAACACTTAGTCAATCTGCATCCGACTCGCAGAGTTGTATGAATAACTCATCGAGTTCTCCTTCAACATATGAACACTCTGCCTGTGACTCGCTGAGCTGTATGAACAACTCGTTGAGTCTGTTCTTGAGATATGAGGATTGCCTTGAACTCACCGAGTCAGGGCACTGACTCGCCGAGTCCCTCCATGAATGAGTCTGATCTCCGACTCACTGAGTCCACCCATGACTCACTGGTACCATTCGGCATGACTCGTGAAGGGGAATATTGGGGACTCGCGACTCGACTCGCCGTGTCCGAAGAACGACTCGCCGAGTTGGCTGCATGCAACTTCTATACAGTTGATTCTGCTCAAAACCAATGCATACAACTTATAGATCTGGGTTCATAAGGCTTGATTAACATGTAAAGATTCTATCTTTACGTGTGCATAGACACCCATCAACTTTTAAAGGCTCAAAAGGCACTTAAAAGAGTAGATCTAGGGGTTTCATTCAAAATGGCTCCATAAAGGTGTTAGATCTAAGTTTTTGGAACTGAAACATGGCTAGATCCGAAGGCTATTCGACCCAATGTGATCTCTCTACTATAATCAAGCTAAGAAATGGATAAAGTTTCCTAAATGTGATTTCTAATGGGGAATCAATCATAGAAACAGAAGGAATCCGATTAGTACCTCAATGAACTCTGTAGTGGGTGCAAGATCTTGGATCTCCTTCAACTCCTTTGGATCTAGCTTTCTTCTTCTCTTCAAAACTTCAAGATTCACACAAGAAATGCTCAAAATGCTCAAGGAAAGGTTGGGGTTTGCTAAATGACACTGTGAGGGTGAAGGAGGCGAGTTTGGGGCTCATAAGATGGTTTAAATATGGTACAAACCCTAAGGATTAGGGTTTCCTCCAGACTAGCCTACTCGTCGAGTCCAGGTGCGGACTCGCCGAGTAGATCACTTAAAACCCTCGTCCAACTTGGCATCTACTCGACGAGTTAGGGCCACTACTCACTGAGTAGCTCTCTGTAAAATAAATTAATGAATTAATACGTACCAGGAATGGGCGTTACATTAATGCTGAAGTCAATCTTCCAATGAAGATTAACAAGAAAAGCTAACTACATTTTAGGGGGAGTTTGTTGGGCCAATTAGAAAAGAAAGCTAGAAACCAAGGGGGGATTGTTGGGTCAAAAATATTGTTTATACTTTGCTTTTATAGGAAAATATATTTTTTGTAATTTTGTGGTTGTGTACGGTTGCATATATGTGTGCGGCCGCATACCCTGTGTACGGCTGCTCATGTGTGTGCGTTCGCACACGCGTGTGCGGCTGTACACTCGTGTGAAGCTGGTGGCCCATGTCTCATATATATAGGGTGAGGAGTGTAAGGCTAGGAGAGTGAAGAGAAAGGAGAGGAGCATGTTCTAGAAAGAGGAAGTGTGTGTGAGAGAATCTATGTATATGGAGCATCATTCATATTGAATACATCATTAGATTCATCTTAATTCTTCTTCATGGATAGATTGTGTTTCAACTTCCACATGATGTAGCTGATCATGATCCTCAGCCACTACAGTTATAGGAGAAACATGAACCTCTTCAATTTCCAGCTCAGAAGTTGACATCACAACGTCTTCAGTCTCTGTAGAAATAGATTGATCTTCCGAGTCTGACTGATCACTATCTTCAACAAAAATTCCAAATTTTATTAAGGGAAATTTCCCTTCAAAAACAAACTTTCCTCCTCTTTTCTGCTTCATTAAACCAAATGCACTTGGACTGATAGATTTAAGATCCAATGTCTCATATCCTCTTTGCAGCTCAGGATGCATAACGCTGAAAATGATCTGAAGAAATCTTGGGTACATCACAAATTTGTGTCTCTTGTTTCCTTCAATATTAAGAACCAGTTCGTGCAGGATAAACTTTGAAAAATTCAATTCAATTCCCGAAGCCAAAGCTATGATGGATCCTGTATTGACCAGAGACATTTCGTTCGCACCGGATCTCCTACCAGAAATACAACTCACAAATACATGAGTTAGATATTTCTAACACGGGGGAAGCAGTTTCTTGATGGTAGTGCTCCCTCATTTCCTCCTCTGCCTACCACGTCCACTCAGACCCCTTCCTGTGCTGCCACTGCACCTTTACCAACTGAACCACCTTGTTCCTCAAGGTCTTCGTCTTTCGATGGAAGATTGAAACCGGTCTCTCAGTATAATTCAGGATGCTATCAAACCAGAATATCCTCCAAGGGTACAATTTATGACTCATCCACCAAACACTTCCTCAACTGGGAAACATGGAAAATGTGGTGGATCTGGCTAAGCTCTGTCGGAAGATCGAACCGATAAGCGACCCGACCCTCCTGGGCCAAAAGCCTAAGAGGACCGATGAAGCTGGGGCCTAGCTTGCCCCTCTTATGGAACCTGAGAACACCCTTCCAGGGTGACACCTTCAGGAGGACCATATCACCCACCTGAAACTCCAAGTCTAAACACCTCCTATCGGCATAACTCTTTTATCGACTTTGCGCAGTCTGCAGTCTACTACGAACCTGTTGGATCAACTCCGAGGTCTTGAGCACCACTTCGGTGCTCCTGATGACTCGCTGACCAACCTCGCCCAAGCAAATTGGGGTCATGCACTTCCTACCATAAAGCATCTCAAAGGGAGGGCGGTCAATACTCGCATGGTAACTGTTGTTATATGAGAATTCCACTTACGGAAGATACGTATCCCAACTACCAACGAAGTCTAGAACACATGCTTGAAGCGTGTCCTCGAGATTCAGAATCATCCACTTGCTCTGCCCATCCGTCTGAGGGTGGAAAGTGGTGCTGAAATGGAGACGAGTACCCATCTCATCGCGAAACCGCTTCCAGAATCTGGAAGTAAAACGGACGTCTCGGTCTGACACCACTGAAACAGGCACTCCATGCCGTGCCACAACCTCTCGCACATAAATATCGACAAGCTTCTCAGCCGATATACTCTCCTGGATTGGCATAAAATGAGCACTCTTTGTCAGTCGATCCACAATAACCCAAATCAAATCCACTCCACGTGCGGTCCTGGGAAACTTAGTGATGAAATCCATGGTGATGTCCTCCCATTTCCACACTGGAATGTCTAACGGCTGCATCTTGTCATGAGGCCTCTGGTGCTCTGCCTTGACCTTCCTACAGGTCAGGCACCTCTCCACATACCAGGCGACATCCCGCTTCATGCAGGGCCACCAATAATAGGGCCGAAGATCTCTATACATCTTCGTCGCCCCTGGATGGATGGAATATCGAGACTTATGGGTCTCGTCCATCAATACTTGCCGCACACTGCCCCAGTATGGTACCCCAACTCTCCTATGAAGGGTCAACAGTCCTCGAGTGTCATCGTCAAAGGAAGATACTAGGCCCACGATCCTCTCACACTTCTGCCTCTCTTCCTTGAGGCCCTCGACCCGTGCCTCTCTGATCTGCTCCAATAATGGAGTAATCATTCTCATCCTCAGTCATATATCCCTGATCGGAGCTGCTTCTGCCTTGCAGCTCAGGACGCCGGTCACCACGTTGGCCTTCCCTGGGTGATAAAGGATCTCACAGTCATAATCCTGTACCACATCTAACCACCACCGCTGCCTGATGTTAAGATTCGGCTGATCCATGAGGTACCTCATACTCTAATGATCCGTATAGATGGTACAACGGATCCCATAAAGGTAATGCCTCCAAATCTTGAGAGAAAACACCACTGCCCCCAACTCTAAACCATGCGTAAGATAGTTAGCCTTGTGAGGCTTTAACTGTCTAGAGGCGTAAACTATCACACGACCTTGTTACATCAACACTACTCCCATACCTGTGATCGAAGCATCACAGTAGACTACAAAATCCTCTACTCCATCGGGCAGGGTAAGAATTGGTGCATCGCACAATCTCTGCCTGAGGGTCTCGAATGCTACCTACTGCTCAGGCCCCCAGCGAAACACCACCAACTTCTTAGTCAGTCGGGTGAGCGATACAACTATCTTGGAGAAATCCTAGATGAATCTCTTGTAGTACCCTGCCAAACCTAGGAAGCTCCAAATCTCAGATGGAGACTTCGGGATCTCCCACTGCATCATGACCTCTATCTTAGCCGGATCTACCAGTATACCATTCTGGTTGACGAGATGCCCAAGGAACTGCACCTCGCACAACAAGAACTCGCACTTGGAGAACCTTTGCAAAAAGCCTCTCCCTCCTCAAGGTCTCTAGCACCTCCCTTAGGTGCTCCTCATGTTGCTCCTGCGTATTGGAATAAACCAAGATGTCGTCTATGAATACTATCACAGACCGATCCAGTTTCGGCTTGTACACACGGTTCATGAGGTCCATGAACGTGGTTGGAGCGCTGGTGAGCCCTAACGGCATCACCACAAACTCATAATGACCATTACGGGTCCTGAAAGCAGTCTTCTGCATATCCTAATCCCTAACCCGCATTTGATGATACCCGGAGCGCAAATCAACCATGGAGAACCAAGATGCTCCCTGAAGTTGATCAAACAAGTCATATATCCCAGGGAGTGGGTAACGGTTCTACACCGTTACCTTATTCAACTCCCGATAATCTATATACATACGGTGCGACCCGTCCTTCTTCTTTACGAACAAAATCGGCGCTCCCTAGGGCGAACTGCTCAGCCTGATAAAACACTTGTCTAACAGCTCTTGCAGCTTCATGGTCAACCCCTACATCTCTGGGGGAGCTAACCGATATCGTGCCTTGGCTATTGGAGTCGCACCAGGAATCAAGTAATTCCTGAATTTAACCTGCCTCTATGGGGGTACTCCCGAAAAATCCTTTGGAAATACATACGGGTAGTCTCGCACTACCGAAACATCGTCATCTGTCATCTGGACCTTCTCCCGAGCATCTAGAACATAGTCAATGTAGCCAGCAGAACCCTACTAGAAGTAGCGCCTCGCTCTCGTTGCTGAACAAAGAACTGGTCCGCGCTGTGGCCTCTTACCCTGAATCACTAACTCTCCCCCACTGGGTGTGCGAACCCTCACTAACTGCAGCTCACAATTAATCATCGCCTCATTGTGGCTCAACCAACCCATGCCTACTATGACCTTATTCTCTCACAGGGGAATAGGGACCAAGTCACCAAAAACTACTCCTCGAATAACTGAAGGGAACATCCTCTGTGCACTCTCGCAACCCTAACTGTCCTATCATCTGAGATCTCGACCTCAAGTGGACAATGATTTCCCCTGGAGCTCTGCTAAACCTCTTGCAAAGCGCAAGTGAAACGAATGATCGGGTAGCCCCCGAATCAAACAATACTGTGGCTGAAATGTCGTTCACTAGGAACGAGCCTATACAAAACATACAATCATAAGAAACAATCAATAATAAATGCAGAGATAAGGAAAAGAAGACATACCGGCCACCATATCAGGAGTCGCTCGCCCCTCCTTTGATGTTAGCTGAAACACCCTACTCTTCACCATTAGCGTCTCAGCTCGGCCCTAGCAGTCGTCTGTAATCCTCAAGGTAGCAGGGGTAGGTGTTGACACCTTCCCTGCTGCAGCTAAACTTAGACACTGGGACTTCTTATGTCCCCTCTGATTGAAATGGAAGCAAATCAGATCAGATGTCAAGTTGGTGGTAGTAGTTGTTGTACAGTCTCTGCTCATGTGTCCAACCCGACTGCACTTATAGCAATCGGCATTCCTTGCCTTGAACGCCCCATCGTGCAATCTCCCACACTTGCCACACCAACCATGGATCTGCTGACTCCTAGATATGTGATCTGAAACCTTGGGATTTTTTCCCGAACTCCCTAAACCCGAAGCCGCCTCCGAATTCCTTTTTCTCTCCATCTCAGGTCAATCTCTCTTTCCCGAGCCCTAGCAATCATGTCATCCAGCATTTTACAACTGGACCGGCTCACAAACTGGCGGATGTCACTCTGTAGCATCTCATGATAATGGGCCTTCTTCATTTCCTCATCAGTTGCGTACTGAGGAACGAGAATCGCCCTTCCCTGAACTTGGCGGTAATCTCTACCACTGTTTTTGTAGTCTGGGTGAGATCCTGAAACTCCCTGGATAGCTGCTGCACCTCAATAACCGGTGCAAACTCAGCTTTGAACCTGGCAGTAAAGTCAGCCCAGGTCATAACATCCAAAGCCGCATCATCTCTAATGACATGTCCAACCTCCTCCCACCAATCTCGTGCCTTGTCCTTCAGGAGACAGGACGCTAATCTGACCTTGTCCCCCTTAGGACACCTACTAGTGTGGAATGCATTAGCCACATCCACCAACCATCTGGTACTCGCTATGGGGTCCCGCTCCCTGTGATAATCTGGAGCTCCACATGCCCGGAACTCCCTGAAAGTAAGCGTGCGTGACCCCATCATGACCGCCACCTCAGCACGAAATGTGCCTAGCTTTTCCCCCATCAACTCTAGTATACCCTCCTTGATCGAACCAAAGATCATTGGAGTCTGCTCAAGAATGATACTAGTAACCTTTGAAGTGAAGAACTCTCTAGTCTGATCATCCATCTATTCGGCCCCCGAGCTTGATCTTGATCCCTCCCCGGCACCTGAACTACCGCCTGCTGGTCTAGGGCGTAAAACCACAATTCTGAAATACATTACGATAAATGTCAGAAACACTGATATATCTCGAGGGATCACTACTACTACAGGCTTTCTGGTCTTGTATCAGCCTTCCTCGATTCAAGTACGGATCCTCTGCTTCCAGTAGTATGGGCCCCTACTACCTTCCACATCTATCCGTACCTTCCTCAAGGATCGCCTCGACTCCACCAAGCCACTACCATTGCTACTGATCTTTTCTACTCTCATCCTAGGCTTGCCCTAGGGAATTCTCTGACTCAACCAAAACCTGTCCTCAGCCGCTGAAGGCCTCCTTGTAATGCCAATTAGTCATCACTTGAATACCATCACATGTGACAAGGCTCGTATA